TTTTGAGCTTCCTGAGGAGAGAAACTATATGGGGATCTTTGACATCGTTAAGGAGAAAGTTTTTCATGTAAGAATTTGGAGCTATGAGAAATGAAACATTTCTTAAAAATCTCCCTAGGAAATCACAACTGTCAGTAAAAGTCCTTATACTCTTGACCTGTGAGGGAAGTAGTTTTTTGGGTTTTTTTTTTTTTTTAATAGTTTTGAGGGTAATCCTGAGTTCTAATCCCTGTTGTGGTGCTGCCTGCTGGATGAATTTAGATGGTGTATCTATCCTCGCTTATCTGTCCAATAAGAGAGATGAAAGGGTATGCATTGTAGGGTTGTCCATATGGGCCTGAGGGCTAGGCCAGGCATATAGGAAGCACTCTGTGAACTAAAGTTTCAGGGTCCCTCTGACCAAGGGACATACTTCTTCTATTCTATCCATCAGTCATTGCTGGAAGGAGGCCTGGGGGGTCCTCATCTGTGTTCATGTTTTATTGTTGTTATGTGCTGTCGAGTTGTCTCTAACTCATAGTGACCCCTCCTTGGGTTTCTGAGGCAGTATCACTACAGAAGTAGATTGCCCAATCTTCCTTCCAAGGAGTGGCTGGTGGGTTTGAACTGCCAGCCTTCTGGTTAGCAGTCAAATGCCTTAGGCACTATGCCACCAGAGGGCATTGATTACATGTGCCTTGAAGAGAGGACTTAGGATTGCTATAGTTGTCTTCTCAATATGACATGAATGATTTTTGCCAAACAGTTGAGGGAGCTCTGCCTACTTGTCTTCAGTAGAATCTTTAAGGAAAGAACCACTTTTACAACAGTTCTTCAAGTGATTCCTGATTTAACATGAGCATACGGATGACCTTTCATTTTTCTCTATATCTTTCTCCCCTGCCCAAAGCAGATCATCTTCTGGCCCTCTACTTTGATTGGCAGGCAACATAGTGCTTTTTCTGCATGAGGTAAGGGACATTCCATCTCTATAGAAAATTGAGATAATTGCCCATAATCCCAAAATGTAGGGCCCAGCATCACAATGAGAACTAGGAAGCTGATGTAACTTGATGGCAGGTGAAATCTATGAAAGTAATGCTGATGTGGCAGGGGAGGACAGAGCTCTGAGCTTCTTGTACAGTTGCCCCTAAGGTAAAATAGAATGAACTCTTCCCATTTTCAGGATATAAATATTGCTCTTGTCTTTTGTTAGTATTTGTCAAATGTTTATAGTTTTCAATAAGTTGGTGTGACATTGTGAAGTGATATTGAAACCTGTTGCTTTTTCCACAACTGAAGGACTTAAAAAGACTCATTTGGGCATAACAATGGTATAACAAAACATTTGGCCTAAAGTACCTAATGACAATGAAAATGTAGTTAATTTGTAGTGGTGTGTTTATTTCCAAAGTAAATATAGTTTATATATGATCATGCTTTTTCTATATTCTTCTTAAAATGTACATAGTTAAGAGTTTGTGTGTGTATGTATGTTAGATAAATTTGTACTGTGATGCACTGAAGAACGTGCTGTGAATCTCTAATTATGTTTTAAAAAATATTTTCTTAGTGTAGCATTATACTCATTATATACTCTACACATTTAGTTTTTGAAGAGATTCCTGCCATGATAATTACATAATCATTCAGTACAGTAGAAACATCATTATGGTCAAATACTAATTAGCTACTGAAATGAAACAAAACAGAACCTAGTTCACAGCGCATTATAAAAAGTGGTTTAATATTGTAGAAACCCAATATATAGTTAAAATTATTATTTGCTTCAAATGTGAGTCATTTTTTTTCCCCATGGAGAGGAATCACTGCTCTGGGTGCTTATTATCTAATTTATTGCCTGGGAGCACATTGGATTTTATTACCAGTGCGTTCGTGACCAGCTCTGCAAGTTGGAGCATCCGGAGAACTTGCCAACGGGGATTCTTGGCTTAGTGGGTGGCCGGTGGATTGGGATACATCAGGGCTCTCAAAGCAGAATTAAGAGATTGGACTAGAGGGTCTCTGAAGGCCCTTTGGGGCCATAATTTTCTAGAGTTCTTCAAATGTTAACTGTATAAGTTTTTGGGAATGTGGGATTTACTAGTAAATCACTCGTTCTGGGACACTGGTTTGAACATCTTTAGCGTGGAAGATAAGTGATTCTTAACTCTTTTTCCACTTTAATCGTGCCTTAGGAATATGGAACAGCCCTGTGGGTAACAATGAATCTTGGTATCTGTGACTTTCCAGGTGTGTTTGTAATGGGAGAACGTTCAGGCAAAATGTAAGATCTGTTGGAGGTAAAGTGGGAGGGTGCATATAAAATCCCTCAGGTAACCATTGAGCATACCTCTCAAGGGAGCATTACTCTCACTGTCCTTAAGAATTGTTTAAAGTAGGGTTTTATCCACTACTCCAGAGTCTCTGTGAAGCGTTGGCTGCTAACCAAATGGTTGGTGCCTCAAAAGAAAGTCTTGGTGATCTCCTTCTAAAAAATAAACCGTTAAAAACCCTATGGAGCACAGTTCTGCTCTGACACATATGAAGTGGCCATGAGTCAAAGTCAGCTTACCAGCAACTAGTGACTTGTACTTGGAAGTTTCTATGCCCTTTGGAAATAAGCTTGTGAGTACATGGTTTTATGTGCTCTTCTCATACACATACAGAATTTTAATGAACATAAGTGACATAAGCTAGGTCTTAGTTATATTGATATATATATACTAAAAGACCAATAGAAATTAGAAACATTCATGTTATCATATTGTATCTCAGGATATTTAAGTCATGAGTGCTTCTCCTAATAAATATTTTCTAAGTCAGATTTTTCATAGGTTTTATGCTATATCTTCTTTCCTTTCCTTCATTCTCTCCCCCTTGTCCTTCTCTTTATTTTTGGCCTCTGGAAGTAATTTGTTTTCCCATTTAATGAACGGTTTATAATGCAACTGAAAGCAATAATATGCATGAGCAGCCATGTTGTGAAGGTGGAAACCTCCGGGCACCTGTGGAGTGTCCACACTCGCCCCTCTAGGGCCGGGCGCAGACACATCCCGACCTGTGAAACTCATTTTTTCGACCTTTCCGGAGTCTGGCTTATGGTTGTGTCTTCTGGCCGGCCAGAGGTGCGCTGCAGGAATGTGTGCCATGCTGCAGGAATGTGTGCCACATCAAGCAAGGGGGACTTCCTGGCGGGGGGCGGGGAGGATAATTAAAAAAAAAAAACTAGTGAATTGAAATATATGCATGACACACACATCTATAGGATGAAAGAGTTTTCTGATAATTACCATAACTTCATTCTAAGAGTCTTTATGATGCTAACTTACTTCCTACCACCTCTGATATAGGTACTATATGTGAGGATTAGGGTGTTTTTGTGTGTGGGACCATTCAGTTCTGTGTTTCTGCACTTATATAATTATATAGGAAAAGAATATTACATATCATAAAAATATACACTAGCGAATCAGTGAGTTAAACAATTAATCAAATGTCCTTTAATTTACCCTATGACTCCATTTATTTGAAGATACTGTGATACAAAGGAGCTCTGGTAGCATAGTGCCTAAGGCACTTGACTGCTAACCAGAAGGCTGGCGTTTCAAACCCACCAGCCACTCCTCGGAAGGAAGATGGGGCAATCTACTTCCATAGTGATAACTGCCTCGGAAACCCAAGGAGGGGTCATTATGAGTCAGGTCTGACTCAATGGCACATAACAACAACATGATACAAATTGATTATAAAATAAAATCCCAAATCTTGCAAAGGATGTGGATTTCACAAAGTCTACAAAATGTTCTAGACTGTTTCTGCTCACAAGCAAAATTATGAGACAGGATCTGGCAGAGTTATGCCAGTGAGAAAGTCAAGGATGTTGAGTGCTTCAAATCAGAATTATTTGAATATCAAAGAATTGAGAGAGGCCTTTAGGAAAAATGATGACATTCTTGAATATTTCTAACAAATATTATTATATTTAAAAACCATCCTGTGAAACTTAAATGTTACGTGAAGGATATCATAATGTGCTAATGTAAAATATTGTTGGAAAAATTCTGACAAAATCTTATTTTGTTTATTTTTTATTCATCCTAAGAATTGCACCTAGTGGCAAATATCACCTAAATTTATTCTAAGTCTTTGTTTTCCTTTTCCTAGCTAAGTCCCAATCAAATTTTTTTCACCACTATTTGTTATAAAATTTTGACCCCTGTTTTAAGAGACATTTGAAGTATCTCTTCGTCCAGAATATGCTCTCTTGAATAATAAGGATCACTTGTATGGCAGTGAATTTGCTTTTTGGTATATAAAATTGTACATTTGAATTATGTGATACTGCATGTATAGCCATATATTTTTTTGCTGTGTTAATGGTCTCAAACAAATGTCAAATTTTTATTTCAATTAATTGTAGTTAAATTGCAAACAGACATATTATGTACTTTTTATTTAGTAAGATGGCACAGTGCCTAAGGCATTTGGCTGTCAACCAGAAGGCTGGTGGTTCAAACCCACCAGCCACTCCTCAGAAGGACGATTGGGCAATCTACTTCCGTAGTGATACCGACCTGGAAACCCAAGGAAGGGGTCGCTATAAGTCAGAGATGACTTGGCGGCACATAACAACAACAACAACAAGACTAGGCAGGGACCAGGGTATTAGCTGTGCAGAGCTGATTCTTTTAGAAAGATCAGTAAGACTGCATTTATATTCATCATTTTCTGGGATTTGGAAATAACTTGATTACAGTTTTATTAATTGTCTTCCATTTGTAAAACATTTTAGACTTTGGCAAGTGCTTTTGAGCCCTATTATTTCATTACCCTTTGTACTGTATGGTATTTGTTGTGATTTAATTGCCTATTCACTAGACATCCTACAGAATGTTCCTTACAGTTTTTCCTCCCTTTGTTGGCTTTATGACTATAGGTTTTAACCTGAGGTCTTTCAAAGGGTGTGAAAGAAGTGAAAATACTTTGAGATCCCAATAGTGAAGCCACTATTTTTGCAGGTACCTTGTAGTCCACAATCCTTTGGAACAAGACCGACACTCAGTAGTCTCTGTGTATGTGAGTTCTCCTACTGTGCAGGTGTCCTCTGCTGAAGGAAAACTTGTGGAATTTCAAGTCAGTGCAGTTTGGGATACTGCAAATAGTATTTCACAAACAGCCTATGAGGTATGTTGTCACCATAGAGCTTAAAGAAAGTGTAACTAATACATGGTTTATATATATATGTATGTGACCTATTGCACCATTGTATTAGTGTGCGTGAAGTGGGTTAAAGTTGTAAATACCAGAGAGCTTAACTGACAGTTAAGCAACACTTAAGGAAGCAGATCCCCCCAAAATATTAATATCTATATTAGTATGTATACTATATATTATTTTCATATTAGTAGTAGTACCTATTATTAATATGTAATTATATATCTTTGTTACTATGTATATTGTAACTTTATTCTTAAGTAAACAAATGATCATTACTCATAAAAATTTGAATTATCTGTCTAACTCAATTTAATGACAGTTATGCATATTGAAATTGAGATAATACCACCCTTCTAAATAACTGTATGGTTTCAGCTCTTAGCTGCAAAGATAACATATACCAAACTGTAAAAGAACGACTCAAAAATAGCTAAGAAGCTTCTTTTCTGAGATGCAGTTGTGGGAAATCTGGACACAAGTACTAGATATCTTTTGGGAAGTTTCTTAAAACAATTAGTAAACTGAGCCCCGCATCACTAGAAAGGATGCATATTTTAGAGTCTGAAGTGCAGTTTAAACTACACTTCTGAAGATGCAGCCATAACTTGGCTACCTTCAAGTTGATTCATATTCATTACAATGCCTAAAAAAAGAGGTTGTTAAAAGCCATTCCTGGCTGCTATTTTAAATGTCTAATCCTTTTAGGTAGAAAGCAAAAGCATAAGACAAGTGTTGGTCAGTTTTTATACAAAACATTCCATCTAGAAAATGAACAGCAGCTCTTGAAAGGTAAGGTCATGTCTTGTACTGTATGCATAGCCACGCTTGAGTTGTTCATATCTGCTAAACCCCAGGGATTCAGTGTATAATTTTCATATTTTTATATTACATTTACCATTTTTGTTTTCATTATGCTGAAATACCACAATATTGTAAAGGGTTTCTAGTAATTAGGAGAAATCATGTTCACTCTAAGACTGTGCCTTCATGGAGAATTTCCCCTATACACATCCATTAAGAGCATTGTGAGACAACTGAAGATGGTCACATAATTTCACGTTAAATGAAAACATTAAAGCCCTCCTGTGAGCTTGGGGTAACTAAGATGTGGATACTCTACCAATAGATTATCAAAACATATGTCTAGAATAGTATTATGTTCTCTATTTTTCAAATATGATGTTTTTTGTTGTTATTATTCTTGCTAGAAGTGCAAATGATTATCCTTTCAGTAGGTTACATTTCTCTTTAATAATCTCCCTTCCCTGTCTTTTAAAGATCTCTTTTCTAGCACATACACCACCGTTGGGAATGAAAGTTTATAAGATTTTGGAATCAGCTAGTTCAAAATCACTCTTAGCTAATTATGTTCTATATAATGGTAAAACAGAAACTAAAGGAATTTTCAACATAAAGAATATAAAAAGTGCTGAAGAAGATATAATGCTAGAGAACTCCTTTATTAGACTTCAGTTTGGTCCGTCTGGGCTTATGGAGGTACGTGCACCTAAGTAATTCTGAAATTCATAGAAGCTTTGTCATTTTTTACTGCAACATGTTCGGATTAATTATGCAAAGGGAAAAAAGATGTACTTAGATGTACTAATCTGTACCAGATATTCTGGGAGATGGGGCGGATGAGGTATATCTTCCTCCTTCTTGTGGTCCAGACTGTCCAGTATTACTCACAAGTGTCATCTGTGGATAGTGCTGCCCTGTGAATTGCCTGTCATTGGCCCATGGGCTAAATACAGAAATTGTGAATATTAAAAATATTTATGGACACTTTTAAAGCAATTTGACAGAATAAATTTATGTCTATTGACTCTGATCCTAAAAAATGTGAATGTGTATTTGGTATGTCATTTAAATTTCATTTTGCTAGTAACTCACTCTTATGTTACTTTACAAAAATACTGCTTTATGTAGATTGGGAATTAAACAAACCTACCCCTTCACAACAGAAAACTGGAAAAAACCATTGGCTTAAACCTTCAATTTGTGTATCTCTTTCTTGATGAAGTACATTCTTTTTGTTTTTGTTTTGAAAGTGTTATGTCTCAAAGCTAAGTATAAAGTTTGAGATGTTCAATGAAGAATTTTAATATTACAGACTTAACATTTTCAATCTATTCTTACAGTTATTTCTTTAAAATCAACACACACATGAACCAGTTGCATGCTTAATGTCTTAACATAATCAGTATCTTAATAGTAAATTGTCTTTTATATCGTTTCATTTTTAGAAAATAATAAATAAAGAAGATGGTAAACATCATGAAGTAAAATTGGAATTTTCATGGTATGGAACAACAAGTAAAAAAGACAAAAGTGGTGCCTACCTTTTCTTACCTGATGGGGAAGCCAAGGTAAGTGCTAATGCAGTGAGCAACCACTAGATACTTGTTGAAAGAGTATTGAGAAAAAAAATGTGTTTCATTATTTGATTCTCTATTAGGGATAGATGATTTCTGTGTACAGTATTCTACCCGTCTTGATACTTGGCAACTCATAGTTGAAAGTTAGGTAAATAATTTTTCAGAGTTAGAATACAGTAGAGTGAGAATACAGTTCATTGTAGGATGCAGCAATGGCCAGATGCTCCATGAAATGTGAAGTTGAAAAGAAGGCAGCTGACTTAGACTTACGGTGCTATTGTGTCATTCTGTACATACGCAGCACAAGCGTTTATAAATACATACAAAATATTTAGCCATATGTAAAATATAAATTGCCCACTGGACCTCGTGTTGCTCCTTAATTTTTAGCACTTAAAAAACAATCCATGTTTGTTTTTTTCCCAAATCATTCTCTATAAAGGTACTAAATGAAAATTCTGGCACATTTTGAAAATGCAGAAAGCTGAAGAAAACAATAAAAATTATTGAATATTCCATAAGCCAGTGAAAACCACTGGCAACATTCTGATGTACTTTTTTTAATTGTCTTTTGTTCTGTTCGTAGCCTCCCCACCCCATTCCTAGGTTTTGTCTTACTGAGTGCACATATTTTATTTTACATTTTGTAAAAATGCTCAGAAGCTAATGGTATATTCTTTGACAATACAATCTTAATATATACAGTTACGTTTACTTGAAGAATTTCCTATCGTGTATGTACATTTTCTTCAAATTCTTCACTATTATAAAATTGTGATAAGCATTCTTTGAGCAAGTGTGAATATTTCTTGAGAAGAACCAAAAGAGTCATTTTTGTCAGTTCATGAAGAATTTTAAGGCTTTTGATACATACTGCATATTTTCCCTACAGAAAGACTGCATAAATTTTCACCCTACCATGCATTTTGAGAGTAGCTCTCTAATATTCTATTACAAGCTCTCAGAGTTAGCCAAATTAAACGCTGTGCCAGTAATAAGTGAAATATACTTTACTGTACACCCCCACCCCACGTGATTATTAGTGAGGTTGAACTTTTTTGTACATTTCTTTTGTGTGTGTATGAGTTTCTTATGTTCTTGGACTGTTTTTCTATTGGTGTGTCTTATTTATCTGAAAGCAGGGTTTTTTTTTTGTTGTTGTTGTTGTTACTGTTAAACTTTATTGTGGTGAAAACATACAGAACAAGACTGTCACCAACATAACAACTTCTACATTTATAGCTCAGGGACATAGATCATTTTTCATGTTGTGCCACCTGAAAGCAGTTTTTATGTACAGTAAACACAAGGAGCCCTGGTGGCACAATGATTAAGCACTCAGCTGCAAACTGAAAGGTTCTCAATTCAAACCCACCCAGCAGCTCTGCAGGGGAAAGACTTGGTGATCTCCTTCTGTGAAAATTACAGCCTAGAAAACCCTGTGGGGGAGTTCTACTCTGTCACATGGGGTCACTGAATTGAAAAATCTACTCAACAGCATCCAACAATGACAGTAAAGACATTAACTTTTTTTTTCCTATATATTGTAAAATTTTCCCTCAGTTTGTCATTTACTCTGTTATTTATTTTATTTCTCTGTTATAGTAGTTTTTGGGTTTTGTGTACTCAGTTCTGTATTCTTGTTTGTTCATTTGTTTCTTCTTTTGCTTTTATACTTTTCTAAGCTTTCCCCACCTCAATATCAATAAAATATTCACCCTGATTTTTTTTGGCCTAGGGACTTGTACCCTGAAGAAGCTACTATTGTTGTATAATTTAGGAAAACTTTCTAATCAAAATCTAATATTAAATTATAAGGGACTGTGTAGGCTAAGAATTCTAGCTTTTGTTTTAAATCACTGAGCAATTAAAAGTAACTACAGCTCATGGTAGTAGGCATTGTAGATAGGCAATGCATTGGAATTTTCTCACCAGCTTTTGTAACTGGACAGGTATTTTGTTTTCATTAACTGTTCTTATACTTAAAAAAAGTAAAATTGTAGCTTTGCTATGTATTATTATTCTGCATGGAGAAGAATGACAAATTAATTTAAAACTATTTTATCTTTAAATAGCTCTAATGTCAGATAGGAAGATCAAATCATATATATTTACAAAGAGAAAATAAATGACCATACAGGAAAGAGGCAGGAGGGTGTGTTGGAAAAAGGCAGATACATAGGAATTGTATTCTAGGATTCTCATCCCCTTGTCACTTTTGTGCTGTGTGCTACATGCAAACGCTGCGTAAAGTAGAATGCATTGTATTAATTTCAGAATATTTTCCTCTAGCCAAGCAGATGAATTTGGAAGGAAATTATATAATTCTGGAAAAAGGAGTTCACATTGCAAATCTAGCCTTTTTTATGCTATTTTACTTTCTAGGGCTTCTAATACTTAAGAAAATAAATTCTTTATAAGCACTTTAAATTTGTTCCTCTGTCACTTGTGTGGTTTCTCATATTTTCTTATATTTAGATACTAAATAATGGAAGTTAAACCAGTGATTTTCAAGTCATTTTTTTCAAGTTTGAAATTTTGCTTTATATCCTGCTGGTTCTTTAAGTATATTTCACAGCATAGTAAACCTAACTGTGATTAAACTCTAGTTCTGAATCTAGCCTCCCATCAGTTTAGATGGCTTGCTGTGGTTCATCCTTGCCATGTGCCCTGATCTCTGAACATTAGGGGGCCATGGTTATAATAAATTTCTGCCTGAGAAAATGTCACTGCTATGGAACAACTTACATCCCTAATAGATATCTATGTTGATAATACAGAGGTATCTTAATTAGAAATTTTCATTGCTGGGAAGAATAGTTGTAGATAATCTAGGATAATCAAATTGTTAAACATTTTTTATTTTCTCTTTTGACCACTCTTTTTTTTGATGTTGTTGTTGTTGTTAAGTGCCATTTCCGACTCATAGCGACCCCATGCACAGCAGAACAAAACACTGCCTGATCCCGCGCCAGCCCCACAATCCCTGCCATACTTGATCCCATCATCGCAGCCACCGTATCAATCCATCTCATTGAAGGCCTCCCCCTCCTTCGTC